TATTTTGGATTAAAAAATTGAGTCCTTTTTCCAGGAACGCGGTTGTTTCGGGATTGAGAGGAATTAATGATAAGTTTAATACTTTCCATCTATCGCCGTGCTGATCAGTAAGTGTTGTCACTTTGGAAACCACTTCAACTGGGCGTACTGTTATTAAGTCAGTAATCCTACGTGATTTCCTGTCTGTAATGCTCTGGAGTTTTTGAAAATCTTCCGGAGACAGGATCCTGGCTAAATCACGCCGGAAATTTGACTTAATATCTATAAACTTAAACAACTAATAACGTTGAGTATCATAGGTCTCACTTAGTTTCTGCATATAAGTCTGGTGGAGATGCTCATTAACCTTATCCGAGTGGTAGGGTCTCTTTAGGTCACAGAACTTAGGAGTGATATTATACCATTTTAGGAATTTGATTAGTTCCTTTTCTAACATTTTTTTCTTGAATATGCTTGTTGTAAACGTTCTTATGATCATTCTTATCTCAATTATGATATCTATTTTTTATCTCAATTCTTAAATGTTTTTTTGTTTTATCATCATATATATTTTCACATCTTTCTCACTGCCTTTGATTCTGTTTTTAACTTTCGACGATGACCCCTTCGACTCTTTGACTACAAGCCATTATTATTCCCAGTTAATCCCCATATTTGTTGAGCTTACTTCCATTTCGAGGGAAAGTGTTGGGTGAAGAGATTCGAAGGTCGGTTCCACCAGAAGACGACGGCGGATTCTTCTTGATCAGCTGCCGATTGGCTTTACTGGAAGATTCATGCTGACGCTGTCCTTTATTTCTTAATCTTCGTTTATGAGTGCTTTTTCGCGTATGCTAATTGATTATTTCGTTAAGGTGATAAAGGACTGGTAGTTGAATTTCCCCACAATTTAAGGAGTAGACTTTATGTTTCAGTTGAATTTCGCATGACCTTGTCTCCCAAATGTTGTTTTCAGCACCACAAGCGGGCCTGTCCTGTGACCCAAGGACACTCACTACAACGTGGCGTAGCGGTCTACGTTCAAGTTTGTGCTCTGTATTGGTTTGATTCTCGCTGGGGGTGCTGATGAGGTGTAGGCGACGGCGAAAATGCACTTCAGACTGGATGAAAATACCTTTTGAAAAGCAAGGCCATGTGAAATTCAGTGGAAACGTAAGGTCTGCTCATGTGATTGTGAGAAAACTCACAAGCAGTCACCTTAAAGAAATAGGGTGAATAGGTCGGAATTTTTTTCCTCTTCTTTCTTTACTCATCATCTCTTTTGTGTTAGCCTAGCTCATATTTGATATGATCTCTCTGTTGACAATTAGTTCTGATTTCTTTGTATCCACAGGCTCATGAGCGAGAACTCCATGCCCTCGCTGAATCTTTGCGTGAGAAGGTGCGCGACATCAATCTCACTTCCGCCGACCGTGAGGCTGCTGCTCGCCAGCGTTCGGGCCAACTCGAGTGTCAGCTTGCGGAGGCACGTGCCTCCATCGGTAAAATGCAGGAGGAATTGGCCAGACAGAGCCAAATGTTGGATCAGCTTCGCCAGCACCCCCATCATCTCCACCACTTACAGCAGCAGCAACAGCCTCTCACCTCTCAACAGTTGCTGTCACAGAAGCCTCTTCTTGCTTCTGTGGAGGCCAACGGCCTCAGATCTGAAGCGCCGGGAGGGCCGCCCCTCGGGTTGGCGATTGGATGCGAAATGACGGAAGCATCTGTCCTATCCGTCAGCCCGGAACCGACTCCAAACCTGGCCAGACCGAAAAAGCCGCCCAGAAAGACTTCTTCCGCCTCACAAGCCGGTGAGATCGTTTTTGCCTCAGCACAGAAAATACCACCAAAACGGCACTTATACCTTCATTGCGCGAAATATGATTTACAAAATCCCGGTTGCCTTGCCTGAAGATAGGGAATTAAGAAATCGGGCAGCCCATTTTAGGTGGATAAAACAAGGTTCCTACGCCATTTTCACTACTCGATCAGTCTAATACATTTTTTACTTTAATACTGGCATTCGACTCATACTGGCGAGCCCAAGAGTTGCCATGCTCATTTGATTAAGTACATCTCAAACTCAAATAGCGCAGAAAATCCGAGTAGGCCACTTTTCAGATCCGATGTGTACAATTGACCAGTTGTTTCTCGTGGTGCTTCGGTTTAAACTGTCTTCTTGATCCATTGATAGCGACTCTACTCTTGATGAAATGAAGAGGAAATTTGACAGTTTCGTGAGTTTTACTTCGCCGTTGAACTTTAAAGGATCGCTTTCCTACATTCTAAACTTCAGTTTTTGCCTTGAACGTTAGGAACGAGGCAGACACTTTAGTCCATAAGTCACACGACCTCAGCCCCATGGCAAACGTCTCTCGGTTCACTTTATTTTGTGGTCAATTTTGCATCGCTAGGCGACCAAGAGTATTTCATTCATGTTGGAATCTGATTGACTGCTAAGATTCTTGTACAGTTTTACTACCAATACGATGAAAATAGATGTAATTTCGAATCATATGACGAACACATGGTTGTCAGTCGATAAAAAAATTCCCAATCAAATAAAGTGGAGGGAACGACGCTTTCCTTGCCTTCAAAGTCATACTCGTTCAACCAAGGTCATGTAACTCGAGCGTAGAAGTGGTCACTTCTCGGCTTTCAAGTTACTGGTTCGAGTCCCAGAGGTGATGCCGATGAAACAAGGGGAAGTGGACTTAACCGCAATCCAGGATAACATCTACGGACTTTCCTAGATACTTGACCAGATGACGTTCAACTCAAAAATCAGTTCTTTTCGTCCACACTCATCATGAGCAGAGACGTTGTCAGTCCAAAAAAATATCCAGTACAAGCATATCTTTTTGTTTGAACCCTCATGGTAATCACAAACAAAGGAGGCGACTCAATAATCAGAATAGTCATGATCAGTTGTTCCGGCAACTTTACTTAGCTTTTATGATCTGATCAACTCAACCTGATCAGAACAAGGAGGCAGATATCGCCAAATGGGTTGTATAGATGGTAGGGAGACTTTCATTTAGTATGAAAGTACATAAAACCAGGGGGGAGGTCTCGTGGAGTGCGTCAAACTGGGCGCCGTATAAAAGCCAAGCGGCTAGACAGCGCAACGGGATTTAGATGTCCCCTCATGGTGAGATCGACATTCAACTCTGTTCTTCATGCATAGGAAACTAAAGTCTTTTCAACAATGAAATCTCATAATATTCATCGAAACCCTGTTACTCTTGGACTGTATAGAGCCGATTTAGTTAAAAGTGTGTGCGAGGGCTGGCAAAGGCGTTACGTAAAAAAATAACAATAAAAGCCGAAAGGATGAAGGTGTGCAAATTTGGCGTGTTTGATCTGGTAGAAAAATTCGGAGGAGAGGAGGGGTCTAGGCCCGGAGATATTAATACCTAAAACGCTGTCAACTGATTGGTTCGAAAAGGTAGACTTTGATTGGTCGAGACAAACAAAGAGTTCGAATGAGTGTTCTTTGTGAAAAGTTATCTTTGGGAGATATGAAGAGTAACTGGGTTTCGATGAATCTCCTTAGTTTACATTGTTGGGGGAATTTCATTTCATATGAAGGTGCATGAAGAAGAGATTTATAGGTCGATCTCACCAGAAGGGGACGGCTGAATCCCGTTGTAATGCGGCCGTTTGGCTTTTATACGACATTCAGGTTTGACGCAGTCCACAAGACCTCACTCTAATCGGTTGAAAACGGGCTGAGCTTTCGTCCATCATATGATGGACATCATCAGAGCTGGAACTTATTATTGTGAAGGTCTCAAGTTAACACCAAAGCAAAAAACTATCTAGCTCTATCTTACCTCTCATATACACTCATTAAAGCAAAATAAAATTAAAAAGCCTAGATAGATGTAGAATGGTTTGGCTAATTATCTTTTATACTGGTCTTGCTAATTTTGCTCGAGTGTCTGTGTTTATTTATGTATGTATGTATGTTTGTGTGTGTATATATGTGTGTGTACGTATGTTGACGTCAATACGCAATACCGGTCCTAAATCATTTATCAAAAGACTAGTGCCAGGCTCCGGTCATCAAGAAAACGTCCGTAAGTATGTATGATTGAACTAACGAGAAATAAGCTTGTAAACATGTAAGTCAGGTTACGAAATCAGCTGTACAAACCTTTCAGTCTAGGGTACTTAAGGTTTAACCACTCAAGAAAAGGCATGACTCGGGCTCCGTGATCACGTACGACTGGTTTGGATCCTGAACTTATTCTAGCATGTTGAACGAGTGTGGGGGGGAGTTAGATCCATCACCGAGCAAGCAAGTTGAGTCGCCTTCTTTCGGATTGCGGCTCAACACCTATCTCCTTCAATCTATCAATCAAGCATAAGTAGCTTCTATTAAAATTTCTACCATACTCAACGTATTCCATAATTTATTAATTTCAATAGCCCCTCTTATCTTTCTTTTAACAGCAGACGTGCCGTTATCAGCAAACCTATTTGTTTAAGACCATTCTATCTCATTTCCAGTTTCTGCCATGGAATCGGCCACTTCTTACCGTTGGACTCAGCTTTCTTTACAAGCATTCTTGTGTTCCCCTAATCTTTGTCGAATAGGTCTGCATATCTCACCAACATAACATCGACGACATGAGCAAACAATCTTGTAGGAGCCGGATTTCGATAAGGGTTCTTATTTCTCTCTAAAAGATGTCATAGCAGAAGAAAGTGTGAGGGTTTCTTTGAACACTGTTTTTATCCCTCACTTTCTTATTAATTCGCCCATCTTTTTTGAATGAAGGCATGAAGCAAAATTAGGACATGGGGAAAGGTCTTAACTTGTCTATCTTTGACTAAATGGTCTCTGTCTGAAGATGTATTCCTCGGTAAAGAGATATTATTCTCAATAAGGCCCAAAGGATGATTATTTTCCAGGAATAAATTTTTAAGCCTCCCCAGCTCTAGTCAAATGATTGCTGTCCGCAAATCTCATACTTCTAATAATCATCCACTTCAAAATTCCAATTTTAGTTTTATTACTATCGTTGGGAAGAAAATAAAGCAGAGCCGACATATGTTGGCTTCCTATCAACATCTCTTCCTA